CAGGCTTCGGTTTATTTATTTTAAAAAAATATTTTTATTTAAATATTAAAAAACCAGACATAAGCATCAAGTACATACCCCACTCCCCATATAGAAGAACAACCTACAGTGTACACATAAGAACAAAAAAGGGGGGGAGGGAGAAATAAAAAGGAATTAAAAAAAAGAAAAGGGAAAAAAGTGAGTTAAGGCATTGGTAGAGAGCTCAACATTCAGCTTAAATACAAAGAGAAGGAATTCTTCTCCCTTCTTCTTCTTTTTTCTTTTCCTATAAACATGCATAATTAATGTATAATTACAACATGAATAAAGTATAGAGAGAGGCTTACTTAACTTTATCCCATGGTCTGAGGAAGGGCTTGAACATACTTTGAGTATTATTCTGAGTTTTGTATGAGATACAATCATGCCACGTTTCGAAAAAGTCTACAGTTTTGGCTTTGGCTTTGATTTTGGATTTGATTATTCTAATTTGACTTGTTAATTTTTCAGCTATTGTAATCTGCCATAACTCAGAATACCATGAGTGTAATGTTAATAATTCTGTGGCTTTCCAACTTTTAGCAACTGTCCAGCGTGCCGCCATTAACATAAACACTATTAGTCCTTTAGAAGTCACCTTTTCATTTTGTTTCTCCCATATTGTTAATAGGGCCAAAGCTGGAGTAACACATATGGTTTGTTGTGTAATTTTTGCCATTTCTGCAGAGATTTTCTCCCAGAACTGTGACACTACTGGGCATAGCCACCACATATGAATATAATCACCCTGCTGATTACACTTTCTCCAGCATTTTTTATTATTTGAGTTGGTTATACTTGCAAGGCGAACTGGGGTGAAATACCACCTGTGTAGTAATTTCAAGGAGTTCTCTCTAAGAGCTATCGATATAGTTTTCCTTGTTTGGGTAACAGCTTTTGGTTTATTAAACTTGAAAAAGTTTGATATTTCCCGATATTCCCAAATCTCAGTGTCGACATGGTATTGGGATTTAGGAAATATTTGGGATTGCTGAATATTTTTGGCTCCAGTATACCCTATGGAAACCATTATAGTCAATGGTCCCCATAGGCTATAATGGAGAATCAGTCCGGGGGAATCTGGGGCTTGGGGAACTGTTTTTTGAGTTAGAGGCACCAGATTTGCAGCATAGCTGCTGGTGTCTCTCCTTAACACACACACACACACACACACACCCAAATTTCAAAAAGATTGGACCAGGAGATCCAGTTCTATGGGCCCCATAAGAAGGTACTCCCATACCCCATTGTTTCCAATGGAGGGGGGAGGCATTTAAAGGGATGCAGTCTCTTTAAATGCCTTCTCCAAGCCGCGGCATTAGTGAACTCCAAAGGCATTTAAAGGGACTGAGAGCCTTTTAAGTGCCCTGGAACTTCAGCTATCTGGCGGCCCTGAAAAACAACAACAACAACAACTATTATTTCCGGGCTTTTTTGGGACAGCCATTTTCGAATCACTACCCCACTTGGTGATCAGCTCAGTTTATACTGAGCACACACTCGTATGGCAGACAACAAACGTTATACTGTACATAGTGATGGTAGCTCTTTTGAAAATGCAAGATTGTCACAAAAGAGTTGCTTCAACAACTAGAATGTGGCCAGTTATCCTTTGAAACATTTTTCAACATTTGGCATCCTGAAGTTCAATGACTTTATATTGTTTCGCTTCTCATTATGATGTTAAGTGGCCAGGAATTGATTCCCTTATGTTGGTTGGTGTATAAATATTTTGTTGTTAGATTTTAATGCTGTACAAATATTGTCATTTAATATGGGAGTACTGTTTAGTGCAGTGGGAAAAGGGGCTTCAGGTTCACCCTGTTATATGCCAGAGACCCTAAACACATTTCCCATTAATGTCAGTGAAATTCATTTCCAAGTAAATATTAGGACCGCAGGCGTAGTCATTTCAGCAGAATGCAGCTGGACATCTAAAATAGGAAACAATTAACTCATTGCTTCTAGTTCAAAACATTTAAAATAAATGTGAAAATGAGATCTGGCTTTGCTGTAGGGTATAATATGAATTAAATGGAGTTGATGATGCTGCACCTGAAAATAATCTCAGAAAATTGAAGTCACTCAAACCTCCCAAGTAATTATAGACAGAACTTGTATATAAATACTTCATGCTAGCTGTACAATGGGTAGTGTGGGTTTGTCTATGATCGGTCTAAGATATTATATTCTGAACATTATTCTTCTGGTTGTTAGCTGTCAGGGTGGTGAAAACCAGGGAGGATTGTGAGGTACTCCAAAGGGATCTGTCGAGGATGGGTGAATGGGCGTCAATGTCGCAAAAGGGGTTCAATGTGGCCAAGTGCAAAGTGACGCACATTGGGGCCAAAAATCCTAACTATAAATACACGTTGATGGAATCTGAACTGGCGGAGGCTGACCAAGAGAGAGATCTTGGAGTCGTAGTAGATAATTCACTGAAAATGTCGAGACAGTGTGTGACTGTAATAAAAAAGGCCAATGCTATGCTGGGGATTATTAGGAAGGGAATTGAAAACAAATCAGCCAGTATCATAATGCCCCTGTATAAATTGATGGTGCAATTCTGGTCACCACATCTCAGGAATGATATTATAGCACTCGAAAAAGTGCAGAAAAGGGCAACTAGATTGATAAAAGGGTTGGAACAGTTTCCCTATGAACACTTGGAGCTCTTTAGCTTGGAGAAATGATGACTGAGGGGTGACATGATTGAGGTTTACAAGGTTATGCATGGGATAGAGCAGGTAGAGCCAGAACTACTTCTCTCTCTTTCTCACAATACAAGAACTCATGGGTACTGGATGAAATTGCTGAGCAGTTGGGTTAGAATGGATAAAAGGAAGTACTTTTTCACCCAAAGAGTAATTAACACATTGAATTCACTGCCACGGGAGATGGTGGCAGCTATAAGTATGGATGGCTTCAAGAGGGAATTAGATAAACATATGGAGCAGAGGTCCA